TCTAATATTCTGATACGTAATATTCTGGAAAGAAGTAAAGGAGTCTCAACGGTAACATTCATCTTCTGATGTGATCTTTAGTAAGCATGTTCTGAAGTGTTACATTTTATTCATGGCTAATCAATAGTAAGGGGTGAAAAAAGACAATAATCTCTATGTTTGGAAAGTACATTAACTATTATTTATCAACCTTCCAAAAGCACCTCTCATGCATTTCCTATATAAAGTAGACATGAAGAAGGAAACTGTTTACTATTTTGCTGCGCACTGAAAAAGAGAAATATTACTACCTTTCAATCTATTGCTTTTCAATTGTGTAATACATCACTCTTGTGATACTGTTTTTGTTAGAAAACATATTTGTACACGTTTTCAAATATATTACTGTGTAATTCCTTGAGACAACAGGGTTGTGGTTTAAACTCAAGAAGACTTTGGTAGTTGTCATTGTATCTATATAATCAAGTTTGATTAGTGGATTAAGACCTCTTTTGAGTGAGGCGAAATCACCTTGGCGGGTGGACTTGAGTAGTTTGAGTTTAAACGAACCAGGATAACCAACATGTCTTTTATTTTAAGTTTTAAAAACCCCAATTCAAACCCCCCATTCTTGTGTTTTTCCATTCTTCACTCTAAAGCTTATCAAATAAGTGGTATATTATCCTCTATATATAGGGAAGTGAATGATGATGACAAACGAGAGGAATTATGGGAAAATCAGGCAAACCAAGCAAGTTGTGATCATGCCAAACGTGTGACTTGAAAGGCCTCAAAACGACCTCATATCAAGTGAAGTTCTTGTTAAAACGCATCTGGACAATTATTTAAACATGTTTAGCAACTAAACCTTGAGTAATTTGACTGTAATCCATGTTTACTCGTGCTAAAAAATCTTACTTGAAGAAAAAACAGATTTCATGGAGCCAACATCAACAATGAATAGCTCACTACTCAGAGACCTTTATGGGATGTTCTTGAAGAATTTGAAAGAAAAGGTTACAATATTTAAAATGTGCCAAGAAAGACTTCATTTGAATGCTTGAGAAAAAATTTATATCCATTTTAATTTGTGAATAACACACTGATGTTTTGTACTTAGAAAATTTTTAAGTGTTAAACTTCAAAATGACCTATAATTTTCTTCAAAATTAAATGACTTTCCACTTAAAATTTGGTCTTGATATCTGAAGATGACATTAAGTAGACCTCTTGAATTGAATTGTGGAATTGAGATCACTCAAAAATCATAAAAAATGAAAGAGTTATGGTCTTTGGAAGAGGATAAACAAATTTGGGGAAATTCACAAAAGACCTATAATATTTTCAATTCTTCAACAAATTTCCAAGCATCTTCAAGTCTTACATATAAAACAAATTTGTAGTAAACATCCCAAAGATTATTATGGAAAAATAATGGGCTCAAGAAGATCAAAATTGACCAAGTTATGGTCATTTGAAGTCAAACTCTAGGATTCAAAGGCTCTTCAAGTAGACTTGTAATATTTCTCAACTTTTAGTGATCTTGCATTCAAAATTAGCCTTATACTTATGAAGATATCTTGTTAAGGACCTATTAAAAAGAATCATGGATTTGGGCCCAATCAAAAATCTCAAACAATGAGAAAGATATGGTCCTTAGAAGTCAACAAACCCTAGCTCAAAGATTGTCAAAATAACTTGAAACCCCTTTCAACTTTTGATGATTTTTCTTTCATAATTGGATCTTGTCATGTAAATAGAGAGGTTATTTTTAATTATGATAAGAATCCATAGCAAGAAAAACCAACTCAAAATGTTGAAAATTGAGAGATTTATTCACTTGTGATCACTGAATCTAGTATTTGCTCAATTAGGTCAAACTTGATGAGCCAACTTTGAATCTCTTTGAACTTTCTTGGAAAAATAAATCATGATGAATCATAAGAGGCCTTGAAATGATGTTTTCTTTAAGCAGACTCAAGTATGGAGCTTAAGTCTCAATGAATCTTGTTGAAGAAGGCATGGAAATAATCATATGAACATGTGAATCTTCTTGATGACTTCCACCGTCAACTTTGAGGAGGTCTTGACCTAAATGAAGTAAGGGAACTCCTTGAACCACAAAATTTAATATCATAGGCATAGCCTTGAAGCTTGAGCTCTTACCATCCATTGAAGAACCATTTAATTGAGGACCAACCCTTAAACCCTAGGCTAGATGGTAAGACGAATGCAATTGTGATCATCTACAATATGAATATTCAAAGAAACATATATACACATATTGATGTTAGTTAAAAAGAATACATGTACAAGATACATAACTCAAGAAGCTTGGTAATCTCTCAAGAGTAAACTTAAAGATAGGATGAAGAAAGAGAGAACCAACCCTAATGTGTGATCTTGATGTATTGATATGAGATTATGAGAAATATTAGGGGTGGAAATTGAGGTATAATAAAGCCAATGAGTTATTGAGGTGGATCCTGACAAAGTCAAAGCCATACAAGAAATGTCAGCTCTAAGAACAGAAAAAGAGGTTTGTGGTTTCTTAGGACGATTGAACTACATCACAAGGTTCATATAACCCTTGACTGCCACTTGTGAGCCTATATTCAAACTACTTAAAAGACCAATCAGTGGAGTGGAATGAAGATTGTCAGACGGCCTTTGAAACCATAAAACAATATTTACAAGAGTCATCTGAAACAACCGGCTGAATAAATCATCGAGATGAAATTAATGAATTCGCCATCAAACGTTTTTTATCCCTCACAAAGGGAAAGGTAAACATCGAGTAAATCTGAGAAGGATGAAATCATGATCAAACGATCGTGAGATTGGGTAAGGGAGTCTGTTAAGCGAGGGGAAGGTATTAGCACCCCACACGCCCATAATACTCTATGATATCCACTTTTGTTGTTCTAATCAAAGGGTGTGTTCAAATCTAAAGCTTACGAGCTAAAGGAAAAGTGCAAATAAGGAATGCATGCAAAAGAAAACACAGGGAAAAAAGGAAATATTTACAAAGTTTCGCACGGCTGATCCCCGCGACCAGATGCCTACGTATCCCTTTTAAGGAATCAGAGTGTCGTAGTTTGACTCACATGTTTGGATTTGTTTTGTGTTTTTTAATGAATGATATTAACTTCGCCTTCTGTCGCAACTCGACCCTTGGAGATTCACATGTCAGCACAGAAGTGAATTAACATGTTCTTTTTGAAAGTTTGAAAGAAAAGAAAAGGAGCCTGAAGGTGAAAAAGAGTTTACATTGATTGATGTTTTTTAACTTAAAAAAGGATTTGAAAGTTGTCAAGTGTTTTATGCATTTTCCAAGAAAAGAGTTTTAGTCTTAAATGCAAGGATGCAAAAGAAAGAAAAACATCTAAAGGAAACTAGCTAGAATCTAATCCCTAATGTTATCATACAATTATGGTCCTAAGGTTGAGTTTTGAAAGGGAAATCTCTACCCTACGTTAGCATGCATGGATTACAATCTTAATGTCTATCTCGAATCACCACCAAAGGATGAATCAAGAACTCCTAAGGGAACATAACAAAGGTTCACAACCTAAACCTACGTCTATCTCGAATCACCACCAAAGGGTGAATCAAGAGCTCCTAAGGGAACATGCTAAAGGTTCAGAACCTAAGAAAACATGTACACTAGGATGGAAAGCAAGTAATCAACAAGATCAAGAGAGCACACACAAGGGCAATCCCTACCTAAAACCTATGGGAGAGGATAAGTATCCTATAGGGAACATGCAAAGATCAAAGTCGTTATCTCGATTCTAATTGAGTGACATCATCGATCAACAACAAAGGAAAACGATAAAATCCTAAGGGGAGCATGTGAAGATCGAAGTCGTTATCTCAATTCTAATTGAGTGACATCATTGATCGTCAAAAGAATAAAGTCATAAAATCTTATGGGGGGCATGCAAAGATGGAAGTCGTTTTCTCAATTGAGTGACATCATCGATCGTCAACAAAGGAAACAAACACAAGCACAAATATAAATAACAAATAAGTGCGAAATGCTTGCTACAGGTCTTTAAACAGCGACTTCGAGCACACGCTCTTTATTTTATACTTCTAATGATATCTAGAAAGCAGTAAAGTGCGGAAAGATAAGTCAGAGTCAGAATGATACCAAACAAACAAAAGTTCGTAGCACAACAAGCAAAGTAGAGAAACCCGGAAAACTTCGAGTAAGCTTCACAAGCAGCAAATAAGAGACAAAAATCAAATGCTAGAAATAAGAGTCGAAGCATCATCGGTGTGAAAATAAATCAAAATCGAAATCTCAAGCATATCCGCTTATCACATAATAAACCTGCATAAGACTCAGATCTCAACAAGAAAAGGTGAATTACAAATCTCAAGTGATCGAATAATCCTGAATTAATTCCTAAAATCAAATAAAAAAATCTAACAATTTTTTATTGATTTTATAATTTTTTTATCATCAAAAAAATATAGAAAAATTTAAGGGAAATACCCTAAATCATAACAAGAAAATAGGAAGATCACGACGTGTATGTCTGAATCAGGATGGTGTGGGCTAGCAAACAGGCGCTAGGCCCATTCAGCATAGGTCCAGAAGCAAGTTTTTGTGCCACAAAAATTCTAAATGCCAAAAAAATGGTGTATTGGGCTTAAGACTAGGGATTCAGTCCAAATCCATCAACATTATCCCATTCAATTATTTTGTTTCAGTTTATTAAGAAAAACAAGCGATAGTAAAAAAAAGAATACGATTAAAAATTGAAAGAAGGGAACTAGGGTTATATGTTGTGTCTGTTCATATTCCACAATACTTTCTCCTTATTCTTTATCCAAACACAAAACGGTGCCGCTAATCCGTTTCCCCATCCCTCTGTCTTGTTTCAAACATGGCGCGACAGTGTTAACTCCAACCCTCCGTCCCAATTCCGTTCATCTTAACGGTGCCTTACCTCTCAGTTTCCCTCAATGTCCGCTTCATTCTCCGTACTCTCAACATCTCAATCGCTATTATGCTAGCCAATGTATGCATACCTTCTTCTTCTTTTGTCAATTATACTCTTTTCTTCTGTTTTCTTGCATGTTGTGATGTGTTGATGATTGTGCGACTCTGCTATGATGTTGTTGCGATCTTGTGGATTCCGTTGATACTGAAATTGTGTGTTGCTATGTTGATGAAGGTTTTTGCAGAGAAAGGTGGAAACGGTTTACAGGTATGAGACAATGAAGATGGTGATGGTTATGAAGAGAAAATGACGATTGGATAGGGAGGTTGCAGAGATTTGAAGTTTATGATAATTCACTGATGATTGAAGAAGATCAATGTTCAGGGAAGAAGAAAGTTGAAGATTTTATGTAAAGATGAATAGATGAAGCAGTGAAGTTCATTAATGGAAGGTGGAGTGAAAGAGATGAAGAACGAGGTTCAGAAATGGGTGTGAGAGATGAAGGTTGCAGAGAGAGAGAGAGAGATTTTTCTGTGGAGTTTTTTGTGTGATTCTTCTGCAAAAATTGAAGAATGAAAACTCTCTGGTTAGAATTTATGTTTTGTCTGTTCTGTTAGATCTGAAAGTTAGTTAGAAAATGAATTCAATCATGGCCTTTGGTTGTTGAATTTCTGTTAAAGATCTCATGGTGAGAATTGGAGATTAGAGATTAGAGGGTTAGTTATGGACTTGCGATTTCTGTTAGAAGTTAGTTACTGCTATTTAGCTTAGTTTTTTGTTGTGAAGCATAGGTTAGTATAAATTATGTTAGTTTCTGCTTCTAGTTTTTTGCAAGGCTGATTATTAATATATGATGCTAACTGTAAGTTTGATAATAGACTTATCATGGAAACTGTTTTACCATAGTGTAGATGGCGTCTTGGAGCAAGATTCATCAAGTATTTTTGGGAATTATTTGGCACGATTTTGACAATTGTATGCAGAGGTGGTTTAGTCTAACTGTCAGCTTGGTTTTAAAACATGAAGGAAAATGTGGAATTTGGTTGAGGCTTTCGAAGGCAAGGCATGATGAAAGTTACTTGGAGAAAATGAAGAAAGCTTAGTACATTAGGGTTAAGACAAGAAGTTTATGTAGTTTTTTCATGTATTTGATACACTTTGAATGTAATAATATTTGGTTTCCTTTCTTTTTGAAAATAGTGATGGAATGAGATTTACAGTCTTCTTATAATGGGAAAATATAACTTAAATGGTTATGTAACCATGTGAACTCTTGACTTCAAATGACGAAATACCTATTATTCAAAGCATTCTCCTATTTCAAATTGAACTTGGAAATCAGATATACTTTGATTAATGTCTTGCATAAGATCTTGTGATCATGATGTGAGTTCAACAAGATATTTGTAAACAATCAAAATGATTTTGGAGTTATATTTGTAAACAATCAAAATGATTTTGGAGTATTAACTTCTCACTTTTGTGTATTCCACGTATTCAAAGAAGAAACTTGAATCAGCTTAGATGTAATCTTGAATGATGTTTAAATTAAATTTACTTCCTATGCCAAAACCTTAACATTCTAATGAGCTCTCAATTGTGGACTTTAGCAACCCAATTTGAACCCAAAGATTTCGAATGAATATCCTAAAAGGACTGGCTTGTACCAACTATTCACGACTTGAGTCTCGAGCAACAAAACTTACCAAACAATATACCTAGGATCATGATGCATCCAACCATAATTGATTGACTAAAGAATATATGAATCCACTGCATTAATGCCACAATCAGTACCTTGTGATTTAAACAACAAGTGCACCTTGAATTGAAATTGAACCTTGAACGAATTGCGTGAACTTAAAGTTCGAGATTAGATGAACCAATGGGTGGTGAATGATCTTAAAAATGACTGATTTAAATCATGATTTATTATGTAAACCTTGAATTCCAAGAAATCTAAAATCATGAAGTTTCCACCTTTAGCATGTTTGACTCTTGAGTTAACAACTTTGAATTCCCAAGCAAACTATATACTTTGATTCTCTTGAACCACTCTTGATGACCAAAACAAGTATTTCATATCTCTGGACCATAACACATAGAAGAACGAATCTATTCATGCCACGCTTGATTGATGACCCGTTGTTAGCTGGCTATTTCGAATAAGGAAGAAACCACTATCAAAATAATATTTCGAATAAAGTACCTAAGGAGATTAATATCAATATTGGATATTGGTGGGAGATATGGAGTCATTATGCTGAAGGATTATTCAATTTCCAGCGGATTTCGATTTGGACTTGCTTTAGTGTTCGAGTTATAAAAGAGCTCCTTTATGTAAGGGTGCCAGAAGTTGGAAACGGTCCAGGTAATTGGGTTATTTCGAAAGCAACGAAGAAACAAGATGCTTCGAACAAGATGCTTCGATTGGTACAGTGTTTCGAATTTCAAATAAAGAGCGCCATTCTAGAAGACGCGTGGAAGTCAGCAAACATAGGAAGCCTGCATGCTTCGAACGTGGCGTGATTTTAGAATAGGTCCGTTAGGGTCAAGACACTATAAATAGGTGTTCTTATGTTAGATTTAATGTGTTCATTTTGATGTACTAAAAGATCTTAAAATACTCAAACTTCCGTAAATTAAGGAAAACGAGTCAGAAGATACAATGTACGTATTGAACATCATTACTTTTTTACAATTTCAATACAAGTCTTGTTATATTTAGTTCGCCTTTACAGCATTTCTGCCTTTAAATCCTTCGATTTCCTTGCATTTCTTTGTTTTACTTGCCTTTAAACACAGCCACTTCGTTAGAAACTTTACAGCATTTCTGCCTTTAAATCCTTCGATTTCCTTGCATTTCTTTGTTTTACTTGCCTTTAAACACAGTCACTTTGTTAGACAGTATTTCTGCCCTTAAATCCTTCGATTTCCTTGCATTTCTTTGTTTTACTTGCCTTTAAACACAGTCACTTCGTTAGACAGTATTTCTGCCCTTAAATCCTTCGATTTCCTTGCATTTCTTTGTTTTACTTGCCTTCAAACACAGTCACTTCATTAGAAATTTTACTTTTACTTTATCCTTTTAGTCAAACACTTATCTTTACATTCAAGCCCAAGTCTAATTCGAAGCCTTTCCTGCCTACATTCAGTTAGTTTATTCCTATAGACCATTTTAGAAATCTTTCCTAAGAATCTCGTATTCGAACTTAACATATAGAAATCTTTCCTAAGAATCTCGTATTCGAACTTAACATACAATATAAGTCTATCAATATAATAGATATGAACATGGAAATGAGTTATGACACAAGTGTTCTAGGATCAATCTAGTCGATCCTGCAAGTAACCAATAATAATTAGTAAATTGGAAGACTAGCGGTTGTTTACTAGAAATCACTGTAAACAAATTGGCACACCTGGTGGGACAGTGTCATAACAAAAAGTTTTATCAAACAAACATATTAGAGAAGTTTTAGAATTTTCTGAGTGTGGAGCGCGTTTCGGTAAATGAACCTTCGAAGCGGAAAAATAAAGAATAACAATCCACATATACCCAAAAAACAATGTGCCAAAATAATGGTTAATACAACCAACCAAGATGGGGTACAGAATCCCCCACAGGGGGCTGCAACAATCGTTTCAAGTTCGATTGATGCCTCCAATGTCATTCCTGTTGGCAGTTCGAATACGATCCTGGTAAGTACATTAGACATGCCATCAAACGTGTCTTCAGTGCAAACTGCGCCACACATAGGGAATCAACAGTATTCGATCCCCCCTAGGCCTCCAGATTTTGAACCTTTGAGACCCAGAAATCCTCAGTATGGGATGCCAACTTCGTTTATGGCAGGGTTACATAATACAACAACTTCGTCCCCACTCCAAGGATCTGGTTCAGGAATGAACCATTTGGGTACAAATTTCCAGAATATAGGAAACTTTGCCCAAATGCCTACTCTTACAACTAATAGTCAGGCAGCGCTTAGGCAACAAATGGATGATAGCAATCATGATATGGTAGGCATCCTGCCCGCGAAATGAATGCTATTTTCAATCCCCTAATCCAGAATATAAATAGAACAAACTAAGAAAATGCATCCCAGATGGCCAGAATAGCAGATTTCTTTGGTGCCCCTAATGCGCCTGCAAGGCGTAGGCAAAACCTAGTGGAAATTCGAAATGAAGAACCCATAATCGAACGAATTCGACCCCCTGTGCAAGTGGTCGAAGAAAGAAATATAGGGGTGAGATTAAGAGATCAGGGAATTCAGGAAGTTCAGAATGAACAACCTAGACCTATACTGATGGTGAATAGGGACCAAAATGCAGACGAAATTGTTCATAGAATTAGAAATGACAATTTAGTGGCAGAAAATAACCTCACCACCATGATTGAAAGAATAATGGACCAGAATGGTTTAAATTCAGGATTTAGGAGGCCAAACTACACATCTCCTATTATAGATTATATTATGCAAACAGAATTACCCAGGGACGTTAAAGTTCCTAAATTCACGAAATTTGCTGGAGATACAAGTGAATCAACAGTGGAACATATACAAGATATTTAACAGAAGCAGGAGATATAACAAATAATGAAAATCTTAGGATAAAATACTTCCCAAGTTCTTTGACAAAGAACGCGTTCACTTGGTTCACCACCTTGCCCCCTGGATCTGTAGACACCTGGCCTTATTTAGAAAGGCTTTTCCATGAACAATTTTATATGGGTCAATCTAAAATCAGTCTCAAGGAATTAGCAAGCATTAAGAGAAAATTCACGGAACCAATAGATGAATATTTGAATAGATTCCGTTTATTAAAATCCAGATGCTTCACAGTGGTCCCTGAACATGAATTGGTCGAAATGGCTGCTGGGGGCCTAGATTATTCCATTCGAAAGAAATTGGATACACAATATCTTAGAGATATGGCCCAACTAGCAGACAGAGTGCGTCAGGTCGAAAGATTAAAAGCTGAAAAAGCTAGGGCTAGTAAAAATCATAAGAAAGAGAGAATAGCCTACATAGAGGCTGAAAAGGAAAACATAGATGATTCTCAAGACCCTTATGATTTCGATCAGTTTGAAATAGATCTTGCAGAACTAAAAGAAGCACCCCCTTATGCTTGCAAAGTTCTACTTCCTTCCAATGGAAAGGATTCTCTCGAAAGTGAAAGGAATGATAAATTCCCCAAGAAAATCTACACTTTCGATATAACTAAAAGTGATGAGATATTTGATCTACTTGTTAAAGATGACCAGTTAATAATTCCTCCTAACCTTAAGGTTCCTCCGTTGGAACAAAGGAAAAAGAGGGGCTTTTGTAAATATCACAACTTTTTAGGCCATAAAACCTCACAGTGTTTTCTTTTCAGGGATTTGATACAGAATGTGATCAAGGATGGCAGGCTGAAGTTCTCAAACAAGGGAAAGAATCCAATGAAAGTTGATACGGATCTGTTGCTGATGGCGGAGACTAACTATGTTGAACCACTAGACATCAATATGGTAGAAATTGCTGAGTGGAAATTTGAATCAAAAGTGGAATTCGAAGAGGATGGGGACTTCATCCTAATCAAAAATGAAAAAGAGGCTACTGATGGCCTCCCATTGATCAAAAACGAAGCAGAAGCTACTGATGGCCTCCCAAAGGTGCTCAAAGCAAAGATATTAAGTGACAGAAAATTAGCTGAGGCCACTGAAGGTCTTAGGATGAAATTTGAAGAAGTCAAAATTTCTGATGACCAACTGCTGGGAGTGAATATGGTGGACTTCGAACAACCTAACGCTGAAATGGAAGAAGTGGAACGCTGTTTAGAGAGGGAAAGAGAACAGAGAAGAGAGAACTTACCTAGAAAGGACGCAGGGTTGCGTGAATACCTCTTCCACTGTCATAAGAAAAATCAGGAAAAGTTGTTATGCCCAAGGTGCAGTATCATCTGCAACCCCAGAATTGCTGCTGAATTCGAAAGGGCCCAGCGTGAACGAACAGGAGTCAACTGGCGGCAAGACAACCAACTATACAAAGTCTATCCAAAAGCTGATGAAAGTCTGCTCGAATTCCTGGTTCATTGCCACAAGATTGGAACAGAATGC